TAATCTAAAGTGATTTACCGTCATAGCACCATGCAAAAATCGTTTTTCTTGCCGGCGCTCATCACTAAATGACGTCAAATTAGTAGACGCTTCGATAGCGAGATCACAAGATACTGATGCTTGAGTAATTTTCCTCTCAATACTTCTACTACACAGGGGAGTTGAAGTTGCCCGATAAGCCGTCTAAATTTTGAATTATATTAGGGGTGACAGACCCAGAGAACGACAGCTCAAAGCGGTGTATTTAAAGTAGTTTTTACAGAAGCTCGACCACCAAGAAAAAACTAGGTGGCCAAGTGAATTTCAGTGCGAAGACCACGTTTTAGGACTGTTAAAACACGATTATCCACCAAGAACGCTGCACAAGAAGCCTGAGAGAAAAACAAGAAATATAATAGCCATTCCAGCCACTTTAAGTTACTTTGTTTGATGGAACGGTTTCTTCACTGGGTTTTGAAGAAGTCGCTGCTGCATAGCTTAATGAAATGTCACTCTTCTTTGAAGTAATAACACATGGCGCTGAAGGACAAGATTTATCATCACCCAGACCTGGAAACTCTAAAAAAACGTTTTCAGAAAAAAACTTCATTCAACTTTGGGGTTCAAGAATCAAAAACAGAAAAACCATTTCTAGATAAGCCTTAAAAAGTAGATTCTACAATTAATTCCTTTCTGAAAGCCTCATTTTTCAGTCGAGAATGATGCTTAACTCGAAAAAATCAGGTACCAAAATCATTTTTCCAGGCGGAACCAGTCCCTTGTTTCACAGGACAAAACGCATTGCGAGCAGTGTGACGACGCTAAAAGATTATTGTTTAACACAGCGGAAGTAGAAAAGCCAAATAAGTCAAAAGTTTGTCTTACGCTTCAATTAGGCCGAAACACACCGGTTAAGAAATACCTAAAGTAGAACACCGACCAAATATTTCAAACGTAAAACTAAAAACAAAAGTTACATCATGTCTGTAGTCCGTTTTCAGCGCCGACGTTGCAGAACGCGAACTGTTATTCGACTCTGACCGAGGATTTGCTTTTCTTTTGCTAAAATTAAATACTAACACCGCTTTATTTCATTAAAAGTTCAATCACTCAAACTATAATATCAGAAAGTATTAATTTATTCAGTCTACCACTGTGATTCTCCTAAACGACAATGGGCTACAAAAACTGTAGTAATCCCATTTGAAAATCAGTAAGATCAATAATACTTTCCAGCTAAATCATACTGATTGTATCTTTTTTTTTTCAAGGGTAATCAAACCCTAAATAAAACCGTAATTTGAAAATAAAAAAA